GTTTCGGGAAGCATTTTGTCAAGGATGGGACTCTTAAATAAAGGAATAACTTCAAATAGTTGAACGTGTTCTTTTAGCGACACTGTGGAATGGAATGATGTCACTGAAGAATTGTGTGCTTCTTTTATACAATTCCAAAAGGGTTATTGCATAGTTAGTAGCGATATCTAATTGGTACTTAGTACCAAGGCAGGTAGGTATTAAAATCATTCCAAGGAGACTTCCACGAAAATTTTAAATATTTTTTGTACCTGCCAATAAGAAATTAATTTTCCAGCAAACGGCAATTAAAATATTCCCTGGTTAAAGGATTTACCTTGATTAGAAAATTCATGCATGGTCTAGTCAGATTTAACAAAAGCATTTTTATAATCTTTACAAATGAGTGTTTTACTGCATGCCACTTTCGGAGAATTTGATTGAGCTAGGAAACATCTGCTAGGTTTTAAGCAAAATTTACTTAGTAATCTTTTGAAGTTTAAGAATATAATACAAATGGGATATTTTAAGAATTTGAAGAGATACAAACAGATTTTCTTTTTTTTGTGTAGACCGATGTGTACAAATTTAGATCCCCTGTAAATTTTCATTTCTTTTACAATTTTTCATTTCTTTTACAATTTTTCATTTCTTTTACAATCATTTTTTTTTGAAGTCCACGAAATATTCTTCCAAAAATCAATAAAATATTTTTTAAAAGCCCACGAAATATTATTGAAAATTTCTACGACATATTCTTCCAAAGTCCGAGGAATATTCCTTAAAAAGTCCATCAACTATTCTTTAAAAAGTCGACGAAATTTGCCTGTAAAACTTATATACCCTCAGACAATATTCGATTATATAAAAATATTTTTACTTCTGTTTTGATTATTCAAGCTGTCGACCCCCTCTCTATGTATATGTTCCGAAGAAGTGGGGCAATATTGTCCACTTCGTATCGGACCTTAATAAATATGATATAAATATTGCGACGTGCAGGTTTGGACTATATTGGTTATTAGGATAATCTTTTAGAATATATAGTGGACCGAAGTGTTTTTTTGTTCCGCATGCTATGTAAAAATATTCAAAATTGTGACCCTTGTGAGAAGAGGCTCGAAATCATATATCATCTTCACAAGAGATCTTGTGTTACCAAAAATGTTTGCATGTATAAAATTTGAAGCGAGTTATATTCTTATTTTGCTTTCTTTGAGCGTCTTGTTTTTCAAATAATTGAAACCGGAAGGAGTGCGCGACATGTCCCATCTTCACAACAGATCTTATGTTAGTAGAAATAATGGGATGTGTGAAATATAAGGAGAACCTGATGTTTATTTCGCGTTTCATGACCTTCATGGATATTCAAAATTTTGACCCTTTGTAGGGGAGGTACCAGAAGGAATGGTCCGATTTCTACCGTTTTTATAACAGATGCTGTGTTAATGGAAATTTTGAGATGTCCCAAGTCTAAATGGAATCGGATGTTAATTTCGCGGCTTAATGGATATTCATTTCATAATTTCGACCTTTTGTGGAGGAAGTTCCAGAAGGAATTGACCGATGCATTCAATCTTAACACATTGGGTTAATAAAATTATTGGGATGGGTGGAATTTGGAGACAATCGGACTATTACGTCACATGTTATAAGAGTTGTAATTATTCATAATTTTGACCCTTTGTGGGGGAGGTACTTGATAGAGTAGACCGATATTGTCCATTTTCACACCTGACCTAGAATTGACGCAAATATTAGGATTTGTAAAGTTGGAGCAAAATAGGATTATCGGTTCTCTTCTGTGCAGAAAATATATTTATTGAAAATTTCGATCTTTTGTGGGGGAGGTACCGGAAGGAGTGGACCGATATTGTCCATCTCCGAACTCGATCTAAGTTTGATAATATTACGATGTACCAAGTTTGGACCAACTCAGATACTCCCTTCGAGAGATATCGTGCGCACCAACCAGCCAGACAGACGGACGGACGGACATCAGACGAATTTGGTCCAAAGAGACCGGTTTTTCGACTAGGCACGTTTTGACCGTATCAAATGATATATATATTACAGTTGAAATCCAGCAGGGATGAAAACTCCCTTTAAACGGGATCGTAGCAAGTCAAAATAGTCTACAAAATCATTTGTCATTAAATTCTACTATAGCTAAATACCAGAAATGTATGTATGTTAAGAACACATTTTTGGGTTAGAGCCGTACTTTGTGTGAGTTTGTGCAAAAATCTCCAACAAATCATCATTATAGAAGGATGCCGTAAAAGATAAAAGTATTCTTCATCAAAAGAAAAGAAATATCGATATCTATTACATATGAATAAAATATTTGCATCAATGTTCACAAAAACCGAAGATATTTTTAAATTGTTTTGATCAATCTTTCTTCGGACTTTTTTCGAGTTGACGCCTGAAGGTAACAGTGAAAGTAAGATACAATTTAAAAGTATTCTACACAAAATTTTACTATCACTCTCAGAATAAACCAATAGTTTTCATGAAAATTACATTCAAAATTTATATTCTAAAATTGAAAATTATGAGTTTGTTTGTTTTACCCGTCATTTAAAACTTTGGGGAACTTTTTACTTTGCGTTGTCAACATTTAAAACGCCCATATACGCGTCTTCCTTTTTTAAGCTCTACTTTCTTAATCTACTGGATTTCCCCCTTGATTATTGAAAACAATGAATTCATCAGGGCCCCAATACTCCTATGAAAATGTGGAATAAAAACCTTTCATAAAGAAATCTTAAATGAAAAATTTTATAAAGAAAATATTTTTTTTTTTTTTTTTTTTTTTTTTTTTTGAGTTTTGCCTTGTTAAGGCGAAGATCATATGGAGGGATCACTGCTATACCGAACCAAGTCATGAAAAATAAAAAATGCCGAAATTAGTGCCAATGTACCCGTATATGGAAACTCTGTTTACTCTGTAAAGCACAATGTCAAAAAGTGTTTCGTTCCAAAGATAACGGTAAAAAACCTAAGTCAACGACTGTCATTTTCGACTTCTTTCAAAGCAAAAATGAACCAAGTCAGTGTGTTTTACTTTGAATCAGTACTATTAGTGAGCACGTATTTATTGTCGTTCAGTTTTCAGCAATATTAAAAAAATCAGTGTTTTTTTTTAATCGATAGTAATAATAGCAGTGCCAGTGATTTTTCCAGTAATGAAGATGAGGAATATTTGCCAGCCAGAAAAAAAACAAGTAATTTGGTACAAATTTGGCAATTTTCAAAAAATTAAAATCCATTAAAAATTCTGTTAAAATCTTAAAAAACCGAATGTAGCCGTATATTAGGGGCTATACGAAGACGTGGACCTGCACAGACACTTTTCTGTCATAGGCTGTAGTATTCATTACGAAATTCAAATACTAAATTCGAAATAGTTTTGGTAAATAATGTCGCTAAAATCATCAAAATACCGCATATCGGGAGGTACCGTTTTATGGGGGCTATACGAAGACGTGGAGCTACATGGCCCATTTTCAATACCAAAAGTCCTGCAGACATAATACACATTTGAGTAAGTGTTTATCAACTTACTTCAGACGAATAGTCGGATAGACGGACAGCTAGACGTACCTCGCTAAATCGACATAGAATTTTATGCTAATCAAGAATATATATACATTATAGGTTCTAAAATATATGTATATGTATGTATATATACATTATGGGATCTAAAAACAGAATTACAAATGTAATATATCCTCCATACTATGGTGGAGGGTAAAAATTTTTTACATATAATTGCATGACTCTACCTTCTTATTTCTACCATAGTTAAAACCTTAAATTTTCCTTTGTCTTTGTTAACATTTATTTATTTTTTTAAAAAATGAGTTTATTTTATTTTCCTAAAAATCACAATGATTGTCAATTACAATAGAAGCAGCTGCCAGCCGCCAATCCAAGACATGACTTAAAATAAAAATCCGAAACTAGTGGAAAACTAATCACTAAAATCAACTATATTTAGTCATATAACGAACACTTTATTTTATTTTTTTGACTTGGTTCGCTTTAGCTGTGAAATCTTGAAATTTTATTCAGAGTAATAAAGAACCAAAGTAGATTTTTTTGTTTTTGAATATTTTTTTATTAATATATTTAAATTATTTTTATTTTAAATTAATATCATTAGTTAATTTTGAATATAAACTTTTACATTTTCTTTTGGTAGACTAAAAAATTCCTTCCAGAAATTAATGGCAGTGCATTTACTTTACCTCTAAATATCTTCGAATTATGTTTTTATGACTTAGTTCGGTATAGCTGTGAGCCCTTCATATGTTTTATGATTTAAGTGTTTGTTTTCTCTTTCGAGACGAGCTTAATGATCTGAAATTTGCAGTGAAAAGGAAAGCCAGATAGACACTATCACACACTCACCACTATGCGACGCGTTTCGCCGTTGGTTAAGCGGCTCATCAGGCATATTTGATGTGGATGATGGCTTACAAGGGCCGTTCTCTGGAAAGTAGTATATATTTCGAACTTATTGCAAATTAGCATATGCGAATTATACACTAGAAACTCTCCAGGTTCGACTCAAGTTCTATTGGCAGATCTTTTTCACAGCAACGTTTTGTTTTTATTTTTTATTTCGTCTTTTCATAGAACAAGAATCCAGTCCCAGGACCTGTAACTATGCAAAGAATACCGCCTAAATAATAAAACTCAAATACTTACTTTTTTCTTTTAAAATGATTTCGTAAAAACACCATTACCAAATAAAAAGACATTTTGAGTGGTTTTTCATAATATTTTAATTATATTATTTTGTTTTTGTGTTTGTTTTTTTTTTTCTATTATTATAATGATTTCTTGTTTTATAATTGGCTTTTTTAGATTTTATAGCAATGTTGTATATATTCTTTTTTCTTCTTCTTTTTGTTTTCTCATAAAAATGTTTGTTCTGTTTTTTTATGTGTGTGCTCTTCTTTCTTCTTTTCTTTATTATATCTTCTCCATATTTTTGCCTTCTTTCTTAAAGTCGTCTTCTTTCTCTTTTCTTATTTTTTCAAGCATTCTCATTTTTTTGTTTGGTTCTTCTTTTTTTACTTTTTTCATGAGGGCTCTTCTTGACATCTTTTTTTCATCTTGGATATTTTTTTCAATCTCTCTTTTTTGTGATCCATTTTTTTAGTTATTTTTTTCTTCAGTGTGTATATATTATTTTTTCGTATCCCTTCTTTTTTCCAAAAAATTGTTTTTTCAGCTTTTTTGAATTCTTATTTTTTTTTCATTTTGGTCTTCTTCTTCTTCATGTTGTTGTTCTTTTCATTTTTTAATGGTATTCTTTTTTTTTGGTTAAAATAAAAAGGATTTACAGTATATGTATATAGGTTGTGATGATCATTCAAAAAACATTATTAGCCACATTCATATAATCGGTTGTACTTTTGGGATTTGTTTTGAAATGTTTTGCATCATTTAAGTTTTTTTGTCTAGCTAGCAAGAAGTACGAAGTATGTTATGCACATTTAGGTCTTAATTATTTTTTGTATGCATCTTATTTTTGAGATTTTTTTTCGGTAGAGTCTTGTTGAGTTTGTGTTTTTCTTCTTCTTTTGTTCTTGAATTTTTTTCGTATCTTTTCTTCTTCTTCTTGGCATTATTTTTGTCCCATCTTTTGGCATATACACATTTTTTATATAAGTATTCTTTTTTGCTTATTTTCTCGGATCAGTTTGTTTTTATTTTATATATTTTTTGAAGAATGGCAACAATATAATGTTTTTTGAAATCATTATATATTGTAAAAAAAATCTGAAATCAAATTAATATTTGGTTGAAAACGAAATTCAATACATAATAACATAAAAAATATATACATATGTAGGGTGCGCATTAAATGGGGGATTTTATATGATGGAAATATATTTGTTTTAAATCTAGCAATGATTAAAAAAAATAATGAAATGTATATTTAAATATACAAAGCAATATTATTGATTTAGTGATGTCCGCTAAAGAAAAAATTATCTCAAAGCTTTCTTTCCAAACGTAATTTTCTAAATGTAGCTAAATTTTTGATTTTTCTTTACCCAACCTTTTTTCTCGTTTAAAGGTGCACGGTTAAATATTTTGAAAACTTCAAGTGCTCAGTTTCCATTGTTGCTTATCGGTCCTTTTCTGTTCAAAGATTTACCTTTTTTCTGTACAGATTATACACAAAGAATGTAGGCGCCTAAAGATATGCAACATATTTTACAAACTAATTGATAATGCGATGAGAATTTTATGTTACTCATTGACTAACCACGGTCAACGCACGAGAAATTTCAAAAATTAATTTATTTGAAATTCAATCAAATTTGCTGATTTAGGACTCATTCCAATGTATGTATCAGACTTTCAGGGAGCAATACTTTAAGCAATTCTTAAAAGAAAATGTTTGTACCAGTATCAATGTTTCCACAAGTAAGAAAACTAAATTGAAAAATTTGTGTGTGTGCGGAAGAAAACAGCAACATTAACAGAAATGGTTCGAAAAGTAAAGAAGCGACTTGATCGAAAACCTCTTCGCAGTGGCCGAGAAATGGCTCGTGAGCTGAACATATCGCAATATTCTATTCGGCAAATATTGAAAAATGAGCTCGGCGTAAAGTCCTTGAAATTCCAAAAAGTGCAAGAAATTACAACGCAACAGAAATAAAATTGATTCAAAAGAGCTAAGGAGTTGCTTCGCTTGGCCGAAAGTGGTGGACTGCCGAATTTGGTTTTCCCCGCTCCGATGAGAAAACATTCGTTGTCCAGCAGTTTGTAAACAAACAAAATTATCGTGTTTACTTGCCAAAGAGGTCAGCTAAAAGACTGCACCTTCGGTTTGCCACCAGAACTCAAGCGCCGGCCATAGTGATGGTGTGGGCCGCCATAACAGCCGATGGTCGCTCTCCGCTCGTATTAATCGACCGTGACATCAGAGTAAATGCCGAATATTATCGCGAAAATATTCTGAAGGGTGTATTAAAGCCTTGGGCACGCAAACATTGGACATTTCAACAGGACTCAGCACCATCGCACTCACTACGCCCCACCCAAGAATGGGAACAAAATGAGGTTCCGCGCTTCATTTCTAGCGCACAATGGCCACCAAAATCTCCAACACTAATCCGTTGTACTATTGTGTCTGGAATATTTTGGAAAGCAAGGTTGGCCCTAAAAGATACCAAAGAGTCGATCACCTCAAGCAGCGATTCGCCGGGAATGGCCAAAATACAGCAGAGCAACATTCGGGCAGCGTGTGACGGTTTCATTGGCGGTTTGAAGGCCATAATTCGTGCCAAAGGTGACCATTAAGAACAAATCTAAACTTATTCTAAAATTTGATGCTATTCCCGACATATTTAGCTTTCATTCAAAAAAATTTAAAAATTATGGCGTTTGACTTTGTTGCAGTTCACCCTGGTTTCGTTTCCCTAATTGATGATACTAATGGCACGTGGCTGTTGTTGTTGTTGTTGTTGTAGCAGTAGTGCATGTGTGTGTTTGTGTTCTGCTAATCTGGTTCCAGCTCCAGGTTTAGAAATTCGGCTACTTTAACGGGCTGTAGCCAGAGATCCTCTGGAGTGAGTTGGGTAGGTTTGGCTGAGCAATTAAAAAGGTGTAGCGTATTGTGCGGGCCTGTATCGCACGCCGGGCAGGCGTCACGCACATCTTCATCAATTCGTGCCCAATACGAATTGAGGCGACTACACCATCCTGAACGTAATTGCGCCAAAACTACCCTGGTTTGTCTAGGCAGCTGACGTTCTTCGGCTGCAATGGATGGGGGGTGGACTCCGAGGACGGCATTCACTTTATAACTGCTCATAGCATCCGCGACTGCATCGGTGTGAATGCCACTCAGACCTGCCTGATAGGCTTCTTGATCTAGAGGCTCTGTATATATAACACCCCAACGTTAGGAGATCCTCTTGAGAGGTTTGGCGCCAAAACATCGCCTCGTCAGTCTAAGGACCAGGACTCTTTGTTCAATCTGCAGCTATCCAGGTTATCTACTGGACTTTCCACCACTATCCACAACCTTTGTACATGTCCGAGAGCAATCCCCGAAGGCGGAGCATAACTGATTGCACTAGATGTGCTGCAAGTTGCGCTGCTGCACATTAACATTTTGGCAAATCCTTAGATCTAATATTTTTTGTTTAATGTATATGAATCAATTTGCTAAAACAAAATTCTTCTGTCCATATTTCGCTGTTTATCACCAATGATAAAATTATTATTATATTATTATTATATTATATGGAAAGGCTGGTCTGCCAATCGAAAATAGCAAAAGAACAGAAGTTAACCGGAAATAATCTTATCTCTAACAACCAATATACGTTCTGATAGATGTTTTCCCTTTGTTTCCATTATTGATGAAATAAATAAATGCCTCATAAAAAATTCAAATATTCGTTCGCCAAAACATGCACAAAACAAAAAGCGTTCTTTTTAAACAAAAGAAATGTACTCACCATTAAACGTAGGTAAGAATATTAATCAGTAAGGAGCATAATAATTGACGCGTCCACGATAACCTCTTCTGGAACCAATGATAAAAAGGCATAAGAAAAAAAAAAGAATAAAAAATAAATTCCCAACAATTACTTACATAGGACGACGTGCACCACGGAAGGTAGTTGTGTGACAGCAGGCCCTTGAAATGCGTGAACCACCACGACCACGAAAACTACCGCGTGGAAAGCGATTGGTTGTTGATAAACCGGGACGGTTAGTACGTTTGGACATAACCTAATTTAGGAAAATATGTTGTTTTTTAAAGGACCTTTCAATAAATACAAAAATGGGTCTTGTTACCTTAATTTGTCGACCACGAAACAGTGTCTCATTCATGGCCAGAGCAGTCTCAACAAATTCTTTGGAACCAAATTCAATGTATGCAAATCCCTTGGGATGTCCATCAGCCTTATTACATAAAATCGTGACACGATTAATTGTTCCACAGCCATGGAAGTGGGCTTCCAGCTCTTCGGCCGAGGCTCCATAATCAACATTGCCCACATACACGGAACGTGTATCGATCTCTTGTTTCTCTTCCAGTGACAGTGGCACCGTGGCCAGACCTGTGGTTGAACCAGCCATTTGTTTGTCTACCTCTGTTTGCATTTGTTTTATTTTCTCTGCTTCTTCTTCCATTTCTTTGACGCGAGCTTTAATAGCCTCCAATTCGGGATCAATTTGCATATTTGTTTCGTCCTGATGACCACACGGTAATAATTTATTTTGAAAAAAAGAACGAAAAAGTTGAACAAAATCAATTAATGCAAAATAAAGTGCACAAAAACCAAAACTAAATTGTTGAAAATAAATCTGCCCGGGAGTTGATTATTGTTATGATTCACGCCCTTTATGCGTCGTCTGGTGGCGTTGTGTCTTTCTTGGTTGCAAGTTTAGTTTCAAATAAAAATCTATGTTAAAACAAGAATTTACGAAGAAAGAACAATGGATTGGGGTTTATATGCTGTTTATTTGGTTGTGTCTGCGACGGGCAGTCGCAGCAGCAGAAACAGCATACAGACATAAAACAGTAATATTTGAATTTGGCGTGTGGCGTCTCTCACGTTTCAACAGATAGATATGTTGCCAGACATTAAAATGGTAAATTGGGGGAAAATGTGCCAAACTTGGGGATATTTTGAATCCAGTAAAAGCCAATTTGAAAAAGGATTAAATTAAAGTAATACGATCTAATACGAAATATTAGATATCCTGTATGACTTAGTTTACAATTATAGATATCAAATCAAATGCACGCAGTTTTTGTCCAACTATTGGGCACAAATTGCTGACAATATGCGGACAATATCGAAATCACTTCACAACATCTGTAACAGGAGATAGTGATGTATACAAATTTTAAAACTTTGACAGGACCAGATTAACAGAACAAAGAAGTTATTTTTTGTAACAAGTACAGCAAGAAAAACCTACTAACCAGACCTATTCCTAGCTGGGTCTGGGATCCAGAACGATTTCAAGTTAACTATTTAGCCTACTCTGTAAATTGCTACAAATCAAGTTTCCAAACATGTTTTATGTATGTCTTAATATTTTCTGCACTTGGAGTTTGCACTTTGGATGTGGATTAATTTTGAAGTTAAAATTAAGAAGAATAGACTTCTCACACATAAGTTGCATATTGAAGCGAGCAAAAGGAACATTAACTTCTTGTGGTGAACTCAGTCAATCCGATATGTATCCAACGAATTTGAATTTAAGATGAGAAAATAAAATATTTTAAATATCTTAAACATTTCCGACAGGTACTATAGTTAGGACTACATCCTTTTTAAATCTATGTTAAAAACGGAGTCTATCGGTCAATTATTAGCTTTCAATTTTAAGTAAATTCTCCCCTTTTGTACCACGAAATCTATAACCCAGGCAATAGAATTATGACATTTTCTATCTAATACTAATAGATCGTCTTCCTGATACCAATAAGACATACAATAACAATATTTCCTCTCGACCCACATAAATATCGAATCATCACTATTCTCCCGCCATTTTTTTTTTTTTTTTGGTTCATCAATAAAAACAAAAATTCCCCCCAAAAGAAAAACATAACCTCATTTTCATTCACAAGCACACCTCAGACAGCAAAGCATGTAGACGAAAAAGGCAAACAAAGATATGACCGTCTAAGTTTCATTCATCTTTCAGGGAAAAAAGCAACAAATTATCATCTGGTAACTCCAAAGCTCGCACAACAGATACATCCATTTATGGGATACGAAAGGCATAGCGTTGCCTGTTTTTTTGCAGCAGCTTAAACTTGTTTAGCTCCTTTCTTTTCTTGTTCTTCTTTACTGGTGACGATGATGCTTCTTTGCTCTGTCTGTGTCAACCAACCAACTTTTGCTCTGTGTTTTTTTAAGAACTAGTTTTTTTTTGGCGTTTTTCCAATTCTCTTACCTCGTTTATTAGTTCCGACTCATTTTCGCCATTTGCCTCATCCAAATTCTCCAAAAGTTGGTCTTCATTCAAGGATATATCTTCATCGGCCATTTTTGCTAGTCTGCTTAATTTAAAATTACTTTTCTAAAAGGTTAGTATTTTACTAATATAAATTTATGCTGAGCGGCGCGTCCCTCGTCTTCTTTCCTTTTTCTGTTTTATTACAAATGACGTTGTACTTTTTCCCTCAAGTCTTTTCTTGTTTCTTCTTCTTTTGGTCTTTTCTGTTCACACGGATTTCCAAAATGGTGGTATAGTATTGGTAGTGGTGGTGGTGGCGATGATGATGTTTGTGCCGATTGACGTTTGTAAAGGTTGGCAATAATAAAAACTGTGTGTGTGGTAAAGAAAGAAAAAAGAAAACACCAATAGTTTTACATTGGAAAAAACTTAGAATTTCTCACGAAACTAGTAAAAGGGTAAGTTTTTGATAAATATATATTACGATTAATATTTTGTGCGGCCAATTACCAATTAATAGAAAGTTATTTCTATTGTTTTGCACCAAAAAGATTTATTCCGCCTTTCCAACGACAAACGCACACAAACGTAAAATAATCTCGTTTTCTCTTTGCTATTTGCGTTGACAGTTCGTGATTAGTGTTGCATATCGTGGTGAATACAACTCTGTGTACGGTAGAACCTAGAAATTGTTATCTTCACAATGAGTGATGATTCTGATTATGAAGAAGAAGAATATTTAGTGTTTGCCGATTTCAAAAATCAAATCCTACCTAAAGAATTATCGGATGAAAATTCAGCTATAAAAATCATTGGAATTGAAACAAAAAATCCTGTTGCAGAAATAAATGGCAACATATTCAAAGGTATGTAAAATATATATTAACCATGATATTAACTGTGTTTAGACTAACCCATTTTAAGATTACTGCATTTTCGTACGGTATGTATCATGGTAGAAGAATATAGGTAGATGCATCAACGCTTGGGAACATTGATATGTCAAAATTTCTAAAATGTTTTATGAAAAATAAGTGGGTTTTTTATTTTTTTATACGACGCAAATCAGAGGTTGTTATAATATGATTTTTTTTTAACAATTTTTACAAATTTTAATAATTTTTCATTCAAAATTTTCATTTCCCAAATCGGTTTGACAGTTCATTGTCCCAGCAGATGTGTCGATGCGACTACCTGTATTCTTCTACCATGGTATTCTTCGCATGGTAAAATAAGGAGGTAGAACAGTTTTGTAAAACTAAAAGAATACAGCTCTGAGGCTATGCTCGCTGCTGTGAGAATTAACCAAATTTAAATGCAACAAGTGTTTTCAAATTTATTTGTTATTTCTCCACATATTATCTTTCCAAAATGCCTGGATTCTTTCAAAAATATGATCCAAACTTTCAGTTCCATGGCAAGACTGGTTGATATCTTAAATGCGCGCACCGCAATGTACGTTTCTTCTAATCATTGATTTTGAAAATATTTTGTTTTTATTTTTTAAAACAATAAATAAATTCACAAAATCGGCAGAAGTCAGGCATACTTAGAAAAAAATGTAATCAGCTGGTAGCTCTGCCTAACCTTTTATTGTACCATGTGTATTCGTTTGTGGTAGAATTCATACAAGTAAAGTTGATAAAGCTCTTTACTACAATCAGCTGTGCAATTGGCATATTATCTATGGTTATGATAATAATTCATTTGGGGTAAACAATTTGAAAGTTTGCATCAAATAAATCATGATCAAGGTATGTCTGGGTTTAAGTTTGGCCCTTTAATGTAAAGGTCTAAAGGTGCAAGTACATAAAAAGCTTGAAGTCATATTAGTGGCATATTAGTGTCAAATTATAATGGGAAATGACGGCAGGAGTTTACTGCGGCTCTGTTATCCCATTATGAAATGTCACAAAATATGCCTATGACTTCCAGCTTCTTATGTACTTACACCTTAAGTACTTAAGCTTTTTATGTACTTGCACCTTAATACTTGATCTATCATGATATATTTGATGTGGGTTTTCATAAAAAATTCGTTAACCGTAATACTGATGCATTGTGTAAACCAGGTATAATAAATATATCCTAAGATTCCTTAAGCTATGTTTACATCAAACAATTTAACTAATCGGGGAATACAAAGTTTAATGCTAATAACAAATCCACTTAAATAGGTACATACGACTTTGTAATGGGCACTGATGTATTTTTTGAAAAGGACGACGATGCCCCGCCAGATGATCCCCTATTCGAAGCTACATGCCGGCAAAAGTTTAAAGTTTTCGGAAAGACTAATAAAGTAATAAATTTTGAAAGAATGTACGTGGAAAGTTTGCGTGAAACAGACCAACAAATGGGCGATGCCGAAACTGAAGCAGCAACAGAAACGCCAGCAGATGAAAATAATATGAAATTGAATATGAACTACGACGAAGCCATTAAACAATTTCCAAATGTAAACGATCCTCAATGGAAGGAAAAAGATCTATTTTGAAATTAACTTCTGAAAAAATGAATAAAATCTGACAGTACAAATTAAGTTTAAGTCGTTTTTATTTCAATTTTCAATAATGTATTATTCCGATTAAAGAATACATATTTGATATATTGTTCTTTGCAATTGCCACAAGAATCCTTTGCAGAAGAAAAATCATGGTATAATTTTGACAGGTAACAGAAAATTCTAAAAATAACTATATGAAAATTGTTTAATAGAATAAAGCATATGAGATGCTATTCCAAAAATTATTTGTAACTCATTCAATGTACAATAAAACACGGTATTACAAATGCAAAGTTGTTTGATTTTTGATATTTTAAAACTAAGAGACCTGTAACTGCTACAGTACAAGACACTACTACAAAGTGGTATTTTCATAATTTAAAACAAAAATCTTGTTTGAAATTATTTTTGTAAAGTGTATTTTCTTTTTATTTACAGTTACTATTCCAACAAAATGGATGAACTACTCGGTCAAGTTATGTTACCACCAATAACTTTTAAAAACTTTTTAGCCGATTACAAGAAAATGTTTCGACCACCCCACACCTTGCCAAGTGCCGATATTAATATACAACAAATTTTAAACCTAAATGATAAACAATTCAAATCTATCGAAGAAGCATGTTCGCTCGATTATTTAGATCATGAGGATGATGCAAGAGTTGTAGATTTCGTACCGGGATTTTCCGAGACCAAACGTGTGCCATACGTAAGTGCTCCAATCAATGAAATTACATTGAAATCATTTGCCGCCGCTGCGAAATGCAAGGAACCCCGAAAATGGGGAAATCCATTTAAAAGAGGTCCTGAGATATATTATAACTATCGTACGCCTCTAAAGGAGAATCTGTGCAGTTCTACAGTTCTTTTGCCAGATCAAGAACTTAAAATTACCTTACGTCTGTATAGGCCAGCACGTGTAACACACACTGGGCGCACCATAGAACGGCCAGTCTTTTCTCAAGAATTTGAATGTTTGGGTTCAAATTTGTTGACTGAATTGCGCGACAAAATGTATTGCATATGTAATGATAAACGCTTCTTCGATGTCAGTGAAGAACCTGAAGCACCTCTGCCATCCAAGGAAACCGATCCAGGTTTTTTCTTTATCAACGATACGTTTTACAATGACAAAAGAAATCCCTTAAATGCTGATTACTCAGAAACTATACGCAACTGGGCAAAGAAAGCCAAAGGTTTATCGAATTTAGATTTTAAGGTAGCACGCATGGAGGAGACCCGCCTCATTGACTTAACAGCAAGCATGGGATTTCCCCAACTGTACCAGCATCACGGCAATTGTGAGCACGTTTTTGTCTTTTCCCAATTGGAAGTGATTACAAATCCGCCAAAACAACTTCTGGAGTTGCAGCATTATCCACGCGTGAAATCCGTAAATCGTTTTACATCGCGATCATGCCATATATGCAGTAAAGTTAATTATGTATTTGTTGTTGAGGGCAGTGATCGCCTGCTTACTGATCCTGCCTACTTATGCCGCAAATGTCTTATGTCCTATCATTATATAGATGGCAAAAAAGTTGGACAATTTCGTGCGTATCGTTTAAATGAAGATTTAGCTCTTGCAACAGGCGATCCGACAGATCAAAATTCCCATTTCGAAATGAATAGTGAAGACGAGAATAATGCTATGGATAATATGTTGAATGATTCCGAAGAAGAAAATGAGATGGGCAATGAGGCTATGATCAAAGAAGAAACCGTTGTACATTTTAAGGAAGAAAAATGAAAAGTTATTACGAAGTTATTGTGAAATAAAAGTGTATATGTACACAACACACATAATATGTCTTTCGAATTTGAGAAACTGATCAAGATTGATTTGATGAATGTTAAGTAAGGGGTTGTATTCTTGTTCCATGAAGAAATGTAATGAAAACAGAACTTAAATTTCATCTGTGGGAATGCATTGTGCATGGTAGAAGATCACAGGTACATGCATCAACGCCTCGGAACATTGATATGTCAAACATTTAAAATGTTTTTTTTCCAAAAATAAGTACATTTTTATATGTTTTCTTATACGACGCAAATCGGAGGTTGTTATGATATGCATTTTTCAACAATTTTAAATAATTTTTTATTCAACATTTTCAATTTCAAAATTGGTTTGACAGTTCATGGTCCCAGCAGTTGTGTCGAAACGACTGCCTACATTTTTCAACAATGTATGAAATTAAGCGGCGTGCGGAAAAAACACGGCGCATCGCCGCCGTTAGTCTACCTAACCGTATGCCGCCGCCGCCATATAAATCATTCGGCTTCGTTGAGTCCTTACAAATGTAAATTTGGATTTTAATTTGGTTTTTTCCCTCTCCATCCATGGACTCCAGTTTGTGTTCCTTGTTTTCCACGCAGAGCGTATTCCTACGCTTGGAGAAATATGAAAATGAATTCGAGACCATGCGGGAACTGTTTACACTCCCACAGAATTTACAGAAATTTTGTGAGGACACTTCACTGCAGTGGATAAAGTTACAGGAGAAAAATGAGGACACGGAATTCGCTATGAAAGACGACGATGAACGAATTCAGGAGTCCAATGAATTGAGGAAACAGGGAAATCTATTATTTAATGCCAAGAGTGATAGAAACATTCTGGGTGCATGTCGTCTTTATAATGATGCCATATTTGCTGCCCTAGACTGTAAAGGTTGTGAAGAAATAGCCCTAGGATTTGCAAATCGTGCCATGGCCTTGCAGGCATTTGGATATTATAGTCAGGCTTATGATGATTGTTTTTGTGCCCTCAAGAGTGGATATCCACATGCAATGCGTCACAAAGTAGTAACGCGCCAGGCCTACTGTTCGCTGAAGCTTAAAGATGTGCAATCATTAAAGAAACATTTACTGGAGTTGGAAGGTCTGTCGTTGAACGAAAGTTTCCAAAAGCAATTCACCGAATTGCAAGAATCTCTGAAGCAATTAATGATTGATAAGTGCTCAGAACAAGATGAAATGGAGGAGGAGGAGGAAATCAAAAAGAGCAGAAATTCACAGGAAATGTATGTAAAATGACACTGTAAATGCATTTTTTATTTTATTCTTTGTAAATATTTCCAGCATTGACACCGGCACTGATTTGGGCCGTATCATGAAAGCCAAATGCTTTATACCAAAGAATCAACTAATCTTTCGCGAGAAAGCTCCAGCTTTCACACCAGTGGGTGATGGACGTAGAATTTGCCATCAGTGTGGTATAACCGGTTTTATACCCTATCCTTGTTTTAATTGTCGTGGTCGTGTTGTATATTGCTCTCTTAAATGCCAAAAGGAACATGAGGATTTGCATAGATATGAATGTCCCGGATATCGCTTTCAGTTTTTCGCTCATGGTGGTATTGCTCACTTAGCTTTAAGGACTATTTTAGACAAAGGAGGTCTACTAACAATTATTGACGATTTGAAATCTAAAACTAGCGATAACGAAATATGGAAAGCACTGACAAAAGGTGGAGATGTTTGGGAGAATAGTGCATCAATATATGTTGAATCGCTTCGCATGGTTTCCAATTTGGAAATAATGACAATCATGGACATAAAGTGGTAAGTACATTGTGCAGTACATAGAAAACTATGTCAATTGTGAGATTGTGGCAATCTGGAATACATTTCTTTCTATTTATTAGGTTTGCTTTGGTCTCCTATCTGATGGTTGTGTATTTGAAACACTATACTAAATACTTTGATAAACTTAGGGAATACAATACCAAATGTAATTGGGAACTGGTTGTTGGCACATTAATCCTTCGACACGTTGGTCAGTTAATATCAAATGCTCATATGTTGACGACCATAATTGCCAAGCCGTTATATTTTACAATGACGGATTTTTATCTGCTAAACGATCGAATATGGTTGAAACCAGGCCACTTAAAACGTGGCTACTTGCATACATTCAGTAACTATGAAGATGTGGCTGCAATAAATTTACCCTATCTGAGTATTTGCAATCATTCCTGTGTCCAATCTTTCCAACCGAAATTTTCTGGACGTTGTGTTAGTATCTTTGCTCTACGTGACTTGAAGGCAGGTGATGAAATCACCAATTGTTATGATTTGGACTATCGCAAGGCCAAGAGGGCGGCGAGACGCCAACGCTTAAAGTCTACCTACAATTTTGATTGTAAGTGTGAGAATTGTGTGCAGCCCAATGAGGATGCTGATTTTGTAAGTATAAATAACTATGATGCAAGGAAGTAATTAATTGTCAACTTTCTTTTCCATTTATATTTCAGAATCAATATCATCGTTATCGTTGTGATAATAAAGACTGTGGTGAAATATTTATTCCTATTATTCCCCAAAGACGTTCATTAAACTGGTGGCAAAACACCGATGAAGGTTCGGTAGATGATATAACAATATATTGTACAAAATGTGGTTGTGAGCAACGTCTCGATTGGTATCATGAAATAAAACGTTCCATTGAGAGAACACGCCAGAGTGAGACACGACGCCGTCTATATCAAATATTTAAACAGCTCGAAAATGTCTTGTTGGGCCTCAATGATGTCCGTTCTTATGTGGCCTTGAAGTTTTGTTCGGAATGGTTTAAACTACCATATCGTAAGTTAATTAGTATTTTCTTTTTAACGGCATATATAGTACAATACGTTTTTCCTTTAGATGGTATTGCATTGAATGATCAGGATTACGTTGAACTTATTGATATGACAAAATATCTCATGGAGTGTACTAAACACCAATCATCTGCCAATTCCATTGAATACGTTGCTGAGATGATATATCTATGGGATATAGCTGCCATGGGAAAATACAAATGTACGCCAAATGAAAAAGAAGAAATGTTATTTGCTCTAAGCATAATATCGGATCAAACTAAAGAAATATTTCTTAATTATTATAATGATTATGTCAAAGATATATAAACGCTATCTCGCTCTCTCTGTTTGTTGTTGTGTTATTGCTGCATTTGATGCTGTTATTAAATACTTACCTGTTTGCTTTTACTTACTCGCAAAATGATAAATATAGTAATAATATTAATATAATATATGAATTCATATAATATAATCTCTCAAGTTTTATCTTCAGCCTTTTTTACTTAATAAATAAACAATAAATAGAAAACCGTAATTATTTCGTTAAAACGATATTGAGACAAGTGGGAAAATTTAAAAATGATTTTTTTTTAATCTTTTTTATATAATATAAATTAAAAAAAATTATCTATTTTATATAATACTTCAGATGTAAATTGATGTCACCCAAGCGGGTACAACACCATATCGTACTGCTCTGTTCGTTCATATTATTTCTTCTTTAATTTGGAAGAAGCGACCGGTCTTGGTAGGATCCATCGGGAGTTAAGGTGAGTGGGTTTGGCTGGTCAGTTAAAGAGGTACAGCGTGTCATATGGGCCTGTGTCAGAAGCTGGACAACGCACTGCTGTCAATTCGAGCCCAATACGAATTGACACGCCATCTACAGGGTGAGATAAAAAGCTGCAACAAAGTCAACCCCCATTTTACATTTTTTTTAATTTTATTGAATGAAAAAAACAAATGTCGGAAATAGCATCAATTTTAGAATAAGTTTAGATTTGTTCGAATTGGTCACCTTTGGCATGAAACCGTCACACGCTGCCCGAATGTTCCTCTGCTGTATTTTGGCCCATTCCTGGCCAAGCGCTTGCTTGAGTTGATCGACATTTTGGTATTTTTTAGTGCCAACCTTTCTTTCCAAAATACTCCAGACACAATAGCCCAACGGATTGGTATCCGGAAATTAAGGCCATTGTGCGCTGGAAAAGAAGCGAGGAATCTCATTTTGTAACCATTCTTGGGTGGCGCGTGCTGAGTGCGATGGTGCTGAGTCCTGTTGGAATGTCCAAGGTCTGCGGCCAAAATGTTTTTGTGTCCAAGGCTTTCATACACCCTCCAGAATATTTTCGCGAAAATATTCGGCATTTATTCTGATGCCATGGACGATTAATACGAGCGGAGAGCGACTATCGGCTGATATGGCGGTCCACACCATCACCATGGCCGGCGCTTTCGTTCTGGTGGCCAACCGAAGGTGCACATTTTTAGCTGACCTCTTTGGCAAGTAAACACGATCATTTTGTTTGTTTACAAACTGCTAGAAAACAAATGTTTTCTCATCGGAACGAAGAAAACCAAATTCCGCAGTTCACCACTTTCGGCCAAGCGAATCAACTCTTTAGCTCTTTTGAGTCTATTTCCTTTCGGTTGCGGTGTAAGTTCCTGCACTTTTTGGAATTTCAATGGCTTTACCCCGAGCTTATTTTTTCAATATTTGCCGAACGGAATATTGCGATATGTTCAACTCATGAACTATTTTTCGGCCAATCGACGCGGGTTTAGATCAAGTAGCTTCATTACTTTTCGAACCATTTCTGCTGATGTTTTCTTCCGTTCACTTCCTTGACGTCGGGCTACGCTACCAGTATCATGGCAATGAGCGAGAGTACGAGACGAGACAAAAGATTTATTCACATTTGAATGATGGAGTGCCCCAACGAAAGCCACTTGTGGTTTTCCAGCCAAATATAAAGAAATCACACTATCACGCTTGAATTCTGTCACGAATAACTTTTTTTCTGGAGAATTCTCAACAAAATGCTATTGTACGCTATAAACAATATAATGAGCTGTCAGTGAAATAATTTTAACAGCTGTCGAACGAGTGGCTTAGAAATGGCATCAGTCTGAAGTTGGTTGCAGTTTTTTCATCTCACTCTATATGTATAGACCTGGAATACCGAAATTTCTAGGGTTATAGAAAGTCGTTGAAATAGTTTTGGACAGGAAAATTGTGTGTGTGTCCATTGTGCAATAGTTTTACCAATTTCCTCCTCGGTAAATCTCGGAATGAACGATTTTAACGATTTTGATGACTTTTTTGGGATAAAAGGTAAACAGTTTCCGAAAAAGAAATTACTTGAATAATATAAAAAAACCTTGAAAGTCCTTGAAAGAGAATTCGACGTATGAGTTGTGCGTTTTGAGTACTAACCCAAACTGTTGGACGAATGTAAAATATTAAGTTTGACTTTTCGCAGACGAAGTAGCGGGCACTTTCTAATAAATAGAACTAGATAGAAGTAGCGCAATTACATCTTCCATCATACACTCCTCGTATGGCCACTGAATAGTTCTATACTGGACGTAGACAAATAAATGTAAAGAAAACTGAAAGTTAGTTTCGTTTTATATAGGTTGTTCCCCTCAGTACGCTTTTGCATTGTCAATATGCGACCCACTCGACTCCGAGAACACATTCTATCATTTTTCAAGAATTTCACAGGATTACTGGCGTATTTTGCATGAAATTCAGGCCAATCAGAAATCTCTCTATTTTCCATTTCTTCTGTTAGGCATTTATTCTTTTCAACACATAAAACGACGAAAAGCAAAACACAATTTTTAAATGTGATTTATCCGTTGGATTTTTATAGCATTTTATTAATATTTATCTTTAATAGAACTGCTATTATTGTTGTTGTAGTTTTCTAATATACTGATGTATAGGGGGTGGTATTGTATAATAATGTGTATTATGTATGTATGGTGGAGTACGGATGCATGTGTTTATAGAAAAGTTATAATTTTAGAAAAAAAAAAATAGTAAATGAAACAAGACTATATATAAAAATTCTAAACATATTGTTGAACACATGAAAAAAATAAGGGCGGCATAGTAAAATTTTTTAAAAGGCCTGCCTGCAAAAAAATCTTTAGAATTCTATAAAATGTATGTATTCAAAATAGTAAATAGTAATTTTCCAAAAATATTTTTTTTTATGAGAAGCGGGAAAAATTAACACTCAAAAAAAGTCTTTGTTGAAAAAAAGATCTGCTCTTTGAGCTCTAGAAATAAAAAGAAATAAACTTGAGTAATTCGATAAATTATAACAGGGAAACTATATTATTACATAATAATATAACCAGAAAAGAAGTATAGAACGCATTGGGTGTTTACAACAAGTAATTGTTTACTTTTCTTTTTATTGTTAATCTTATGCTATTTAATGTCCTTTGTTAATTTTATTTCTTTTTTGAATGCATTAATAGTGTCTTCAAGTTCAAATATAAATGTGTGTTGTGTTTTCTTTTTTTTTCATTCTTTTTTTATTATCTTGGGTGTTTGAGGGGGTTGGGGCTGTGTTATAAATTTATCTTATAAACTTAAAACCTAACGTGGGACACGGTTTTGTGTGTTTGTGTGTATGTGTGGGTCTAGGATTCGTGGCTAAAAATATTTCACACCAACTTAAAAATAAAACAAGTCCAATTCAAGACTTTACGTTTAATTGCCTTGCGATTGTTTGTTTGTATGTTTTGTTTCTTTGTAGTAATTAATAATTTGATGAAGTAGTAAAAATATGAGGAGTGGTTAATGAAGTTTACATATGTATGCGTATTGTTGTTATTGTTTTTTCATAGAAGGGGTGTTGTTGGTGGGGTGGTTCTAAAACAAACGCTTTACGTTGAGGATACTACATTAGAAGAGGATGCATCTTCGTTTTTATTTGATGACTCGTTTGTGGTGCTGCTACTCTCTTCAGCATCGCCGGTCTTACTTGACGTTGTGGTTGTAGTTATGCTCGAGGATGTTTGTGTAGCATTATTGCCCTCTTCTTTATTATTTTCAGTCTTCAAACGTTTTGTCTTATTTTCAGCTTCATTGGAATCATCCGAGGTGGGCGAAGCACAGCGTTTTTGGGCTTTTTGCTCCGGTGAAGTGGACTCAACTTCGTTTTGCCTGGCCAGTGAAAGAACATCTTCGGTCTCTTTGGGATCAATTTTTGTTGGCAAATCCAAAATTTGCGGTTTAAAGCGCACAATGACGGCAGTCATATTGTCGCAACCTGTGCCATCTCCCAAGGTGTCGGGTGCCAAACAAGCATCAAATAATTCTTCACATATTTCCGACATTTTTACATTTTCATTCTTAAGGCGAAGACGCACAAAATTGACAACTTCTTCGCTGGTCATAAAATTCCAAATGCCATCACAGGCCAGAACCATGAACTCATCTTCCGGTGATATTATCAATTTCTTTATATCGGGCAATGCCGAAATCATTTGTTCCTCTGCGGGCAAATCGGCATTCTGAAAACAATCATGAAATTTAACTTCATTTGTTGCTATTAAGAGAAGTATATCAACTCACCATTTTATAGGCGTGATCGCCCAATGCTCTTGACAGATTAAGGCCACCATTGACACGGCCATCCAAAGTTACCCGACCACCGGCCTTAACAATTCGAGCTGATTCTTCATCATCTTCGGGTTTGTGATCCAAACTCATTTCAATTGCCTTGCCATTGCGACAGACAACACAGCGGGAATCCCCGGCATTGGCCACATACAAATCACGACCATGCAATAGACCCACAACAGCAGTACAGCCACTATCTTTGCCAGGTTCCTCAATCATATTGGCACAAAACTGTTCATTGGCCAAAAATGATTCCTCATCTTCTTCGTCTTCCGCATCATCGTCTTCGTCATCGACCTCGTCGTCATCATCATAGTCGGCATCTTCATCTTCTGTGGTATCTTCGTCACCCAAATCTTCCTCCTCTTCCGAGGAGTATTCCAATGCTTGGCGGGCATTGCTTTCATTGGCTACAAAGAACAAAAACACACATTGAAATAAATCACAACATCGCTTTTGGTAATTGAAAATTAACCTACCATCCATCTCGTCATCGTCATTGGAATCTTCAGAGAATGCAGAATTCTTTTTCTCCTTCTGCTCTTTACTGGTGGAGCTTATATCAGAAGCATTGTTAGCTTCATTTTTGCTTGGCGACAATGATTTTGTAGAGGATTCTACATTGCCATTTTGTTTGCTTGTTGTATTGCTGCTGCTAGTGCTATCAGAAGAGGCGGACACCACGACTTCATTTGCCTTTGCGGCAGCTGATTTTGTTTCCGTGGACGATACACTGCCATTTTGTTCATTTTCTTTAACGGCAGATGAATCGGGTAATTCTGTTGCTTTTCCATTCGATTCTTTCGACGATGAAGGCTCAGCTTCTGTTGAATTAGCAGTTGCATTGCTGGTATTATTTGTCTTGCTTGCACTACTGCTACTGCTGCTAACAGTTGAATCTTCCTCTGTTTCCATTTTATTCGCTGCCGACGAGGATGAGGCTCCCTTTGAAGAACTAGGTCCTTCTTCGTCTTTTGGAAAAGAAAAAAAAAATAAATAAAATAATGTAAAGAAAGTTATTTATAAATAGAGTGGACAATTTTCGCATGATCTAAGCTCACCAGAATCTCACACCTCTTTTCAATCTTTTCTATCATACTTACTTTGAAGGGCGGCCAAAGCAGCCTTGGATGTTGATGAACCTTCTGGCTTGGAATCTGGATCCAATTCAGCTCGATTAGCTGCATCGGCTATTACAGCAGCTGCACGTCTACCCCGCAAATATGGCGATTGTGGTTTTGGTCCGCTGCTGCTGCCACTATCTTTTAGTTTCTTCAAACTTGGCATAGATGGGTGACCCTTGTATTTTTCCATTACCTCATCCAAGGGTAAGCTGCCTTCTTCATGTAGCTCAGCCAAGTTTTCATCCTCGTCATCATCCAAAGCATCACTGTCGTCTCCATCGACATTGTTCTTTTCGCCAGCTAATACTTTAAGTATTTCTATGACAGCTGGTTCCAGCAGAGTTTTATCAAAGCCCAGAAAAGCATCTTTTAGCGCTTGTTCAAAATTGCCATTTTTATAAGCCTCCAACTCCTTCAAGAAATTGGGTAACTTATCTGCACAGTATGTTGAGACCTCAGCACCGCCGTGACCATCGTATACAGCAAAAAATGCTGTATTCTTATCGAAATCCAAAATGGCATTATGGGCATCCTGGAACACAAAATATAAAATGAAGACAATATTAAGAAGATTCGCCAAGTTTATCTTGAATATACAAATATAACCAAACATCTGACTCCTTATAATCCCATCCCTTACCTCCTGACTATTGCGCCATCCTTGCATCGAACTGGCTCCCACAATTAAAAATTCATTCAGTTCATCTGTGGACAGTTTGTCCGTTTTAGGCTGCGAAAGGTAGGCTCCCATTGTTTTTTGTTTTGATTTTTGCCGTCTTCACTTTTATGCTTTCAATGTACACCACTCGCTCTCTGCTTTCGTCTTGTGTTCTCCAACACACAACCAACCAACAGCAAAAAAAAAACCGCACACAAGCCGGTCAAAAATCGATTCTATGAATGCGCCGTTTGCTTCTGCTTGTTTTTGTGTATCTTTCAAAAAGAGGATAGGCAAAGCGGCGTGTGTAATTGACGAACTAGGCAAAAATTTGCAATGAAAAAGCAAAATCTAATGTTGAATTCTCTCCCTTTGCTTACACGGATTCACGTGCTACGTTTAAAACGGAATTTAAACTCGTTTATTTGACAAAAAGTTTTGCAATTTTTTGTCGTTAAGTCGCTCAACGCTTCTATTGCTTTGCTGTGGTTCCCTCAAGTTCTTTTTTGCTATACACGCACGATACGACGCCTGCTTTTTTGTATTTTTATTTCTTCTTCAGAGACAGATTTTTGACCTTTCTTCGTTTTGTTTTTATGAATCTTCCAGCGTTGTTTTCTTAACTTCTTTGTAGATATCTTCAATGAAAACCTTGGGTTTTCGTAAAATATCTATAAAAGCAAGAATATTTGTTAAAATTAATTGCGAAAAATTGCAAAATTTGCGTTCCGCTAAAATTTCCCACGTTTGAGGCGATGATAAACACTAGTGATCTGTAAGTCAACTTTTGGCAAATCGCAAAGCGACATGTGTTATCATTTTAAGTGATTGACAGAACACAGACAGGGTTGTATTTTCGAAAGAAGAATGGCTATCAAAATGTTGATGTACGCAACATAAAGAAGAATCGAATAAAAACAAAATCATATGGTACCACATTTTGTAGTGAATAAATTGTAAAAGAGGAAGCATCATACATGCCGAAAAATTTACAATTACGTGAATGAGGGAACGGTTTAATATTTAAAAACCGTACAATATGCTGCGTACAACACAAGTGTTTAGCTTAATCAATAAAACTGCACGTAGATTGGCCATTTGCAGTAGGTATGCATCCAGTTCCTCCATAACCGATGCCCCTGAACACGAAGAACAAGTTGCCGGAGCGGCTAGCAAAAAACTTCCACCTCGTCTGCCATTAGCCAAGAACTTCTTCGTCGGTTTAGTGGACAATGAACTGTTGGCCTTCCCCGAAGTTATTAACCGTGAAGATATGTCAAGGCTGCAAAATGAATTGCTGCCATTGAAGAATTTCTTTACTGAGGACTTAAGTAACGAAACTTTGAGCGGTGAGTCCTTGCCAAAAGATTTGCCCGAGAATTTGAAAACCCTGGGCCTTTATGGTTTAAATGTCTCCAAGGACTTTGATGGTAAAGGCTGGGGTTACAGTGAAAGTTTAATGGCCACTGAACCAGAATCGGCGGTCACCGATGTGGCATTGGGTCTTTTGGGGCACCGTGCCATTGTAGATGTTATACAAGAACTGGGAACGGATGAACAGAAAAGTCAGCTCTTAACCAAATTGGGAAACGGTGAGTCCTGTTTGTTACTGAGACAATGAAAACTTGTAAACATTTTTGTTTAAAGGTTCTCTAGTGGCATCTGAGGCCATATTTGAATTCGATGGCGCTGAAGATGATTTTTTCAATACAACAGCCCATCACGAACTTGATACCCATACCTGGGTTCTTAATGGTGGCAAGGCTTTTGTCATTTGTCCACCGAAAACGTCCGACGCTGCCCATCTTTTCCTCGTCGTGGCTCAGACAAGTAAAGCTAATGTTAAAACGGAGGCCGCACGTGCCACAACCATATTCCTTGTGGATTCAACCATGTCAGGTGTTAAGATTGGCGATCGACATTCAACTATTGGCTGTGGTGCTAGTTCTATTCGTCATGTACAATTTGAAAATGTTCGAGTGCCTCAATCTTGTATTTTGGGACATGCTCATGAGGGAAATGTTGTTGCCGATACCTTGCTGAAATCCAGCCGACTTCGTAATAGCATGGTTGGCTTGGGTTTGGCAAAGAATATACTCAATGAAATTTCTCAGGAATGTATTGATCGCAAGTTGTGCGGTGTGGTAATGAAGTAAGAAGAACCGGTTTTAATTTTTATTTATATATATTTAACGCTTCTTCTTTATTTTTAGAGATTTGGAATCAGTTCAAACCCATTTGGCAAAATCATATTTATCCGTTTATAGCATGGAAAGTATGATTTATATGACAGCAGGTATTCTGGATGAGTTCAATTATCCGGATATAGTTGTGGAATCGGCTATGACAAAGGTATAAAAGTGCTTCTGCGAACAATTAAAATTCACTATATCTTTCTTCTCTATTAGTATTTCACACTCAAGGAGCTGTTGAATATTTCGATACGTGCCCTGGATTTAATTGGACCAAAATCACTGATTGCTGGACAAACCACCGAACAATTTTTCCGCAATGCTGCACATCTTTACACGCAAGGAGAGTCCATAGACAATTTAAGTATTTTCATTGCCTTGGCTGGTCTGCAGCATGCTGGAGTAAGTAAATCCATCAAATGTAGTCCAATTCTAAATTCTATATTTTTGTTTTCAGACTCTGATGGGAGACACTATACGCAAACAGCGTAATCCCCTCTACAATCCTGGTCACATTTTCTCCAAATTCATGGAACGTTCCACGATTGACAGTCCTGTTACAAAAATGGACTGCAAAGAACATGTGCATCCCACTCTAGAACCTGCTGCCTTGTGTTTGGAACATTCAGTGGCTCGACTGCAAATGTGTGTTGATTTGCTATTTACCCGCTATGGTAGCGCCATTGTTGAACGACACAACGAATCGAGGCGTATAGCTGATATGGCCACAACAATTTATGCCATGTTTGCAAGTTTAGCACGTGCATCACGTTCATATTGTATAGGTTTGCAACATGCTGATCATGAAATGCTTACAGCCATGTCAGTGTGTGTCGATGGTCGGGATAAGGTGTTGACTTTAACGAAAGAAATTTTCAATGGAAGCTATGTAAATAATGATAACAATTTGCAACGTCTATCCAAGCAACTGGTCAAAAGCAAAGGTTATTTTGCAATGCATCCGTTGACGTATAATTTTTAATTTGTTGAGTTTTTGGACAACTAATTTAGTTTAAATAAATTAAATAAGAATAAAATGTATTTAATTCTATTTATGTGCATATTAGGTTTTCTAAAATGAGTTTTCCAAACTCCAGCAATAGACGCGCGATACAGCTTTTTCTGATATATTTATGGTTTTTTACCACCTCATTATACCTGTTATGTTTTGATCAACTTTTTAAAAACATTCAATTTCAACTTTTTTTGTTTCCGGATTATCACTTATAGGTCAAGCATATGCACAATGTTCGACCAAACAGAATCGAGCAAGTTGATGAAATTGGTCCAGATATAGCTAATTATTCTATATATATTTATGCGATTTGACTTTGAGGGCTTCTCATAGATGGTGATATTTGTTATGAGAGGTCCCATATACAGCAGAAAAATACCTCCGCAAATTTAGTGAAAATTGTTTCCAATTAATATAAAAAAGGTAATTTGTAGCTATTGTCATTTTGACAACACTGGTACAAACAGCTCAACCGAGCCTCGTGTTTTGTTAAACATCTGCAGTTTGGTCTAATTTAATGATGAATCGTCCTACGAGATTGATTTTTCTTTAATCAAAATGGAAATTAAGGGAAAAGGGAAATTAAAATATCGAAATTGTGTTCAGCTTATTATTATGAAGATCCACCAGAAGCATTGCAAAAGCTCCCAATACATCCCGTAAAAGACACGCTAATCGCTGCCAAAGCGTCGAAAAGTCATGCTTTTCCACTAATTTCCAATATAAAAATACACTTATTACGGCCGTTATCGGCTCGGTCAACTTTCGTTCCCTTACTTTGTAAAGTTTTTAAAGAGATAAATATTGGCAACTATTTCAGATTCTAGGAAGTGTATTCATAACATAAAAAGCCTATATTAAAGGCAGGTTGGCTCGTGTTTTGTCTCTTAATAAAGAAACAGTCTTCGCAATGTATGTATGTAACATATTTTCGTTTCGAACACATTCTCAGGTCACTTCAAATTTGTTCAGATTCAAATATATTTTTTTATATTTCGAATTCGTAATTGGAAAAACATCAAAATACGTACCCACAGTGATGTAGAGTGTAACAATTGAAAGTTTTTGCAAATGTTAATATCACTCAGAGTATTATTGCTTAAAAACGCTTGCCTCTTAAGTTCCATCGGCTAAACAGTGCTGTTGTGCAAAATCCTATCTCTTTTTATTAAAAGCCAAGCATTTTTCTAGCAAAGAATCACGTTTTTCAATTCCTTCCTTAAATATGTTGCTGCCCACAAAATACCGTTAAAATGAATGACAATGATGTTGCCACATCTTAGGCATACAAACTAACGCCGCCGTTAATAAACCCTTTAACGTGACTATGTTATCTGTTTGGTTATCATTTTCCAGTGATTAGCAGCAAAATTGTTCAAAATTGGTCTCTGCTAATCACAAAGAATCGATAGCAAATTGTTTGCTAATCATCGTAAAATGATAACCCATATCTTAAACATCTGTTGCTGTGTTGTCGGCCGTTTTGTTTTGATTCCTTTTGTGTTGTCCGCCTTTCCCTTTTGATTCCATCTTTATTTCGATTTTCTCTCTGTGCTGTCTTTCTTTTCAGTGTTGCCATATTGTAGTGTCCTTTGTTCGTTACTTCTTTTTCTTTTCTCGGTGGCGTCGGTTGGTAATTCATTCAATTGATTTTAATTTATTAATTTATTAATTAATTATTTAATTTCGTATAAAAATTTATATATAAATAATTTAGAAACAAATAGAACAAATGTGTATATGTGTGATTTGAGATTGTGCGTGATTTAAAAGACTAAAAAAACAATAAACAAAACCCGACCGCCAACATAACCTCCAATTAATGGTCCATGGATAGAAAAGCCATATATGTGTCTCCAGCAACTCGAGAATATTTTTCCAGCTGTATTTATTTGTACCCTGATTCCAGGAAAGTATTTTTTCTTGGAGGACGGATTCCCTGGCACGGATATTGACTCCAAACGCCCCAAAGGACGGGAGTTTTCCAGAGCAATACATTGGATACATGAATACGCAATACCATCAGCACGGCACGCACATTTGAATTCAAATATAGGAAATTGGAAATTTGTGAAGGAGAAGGGTAACTGGCAAAAGGAACAAACGAGAAGACCCATAATTCGATCTGCATAGAATCACACACATTCTGAGTCGATGTATGTATGTCCGTCCGTAAACAAAGTACAGTTCGCATTTGTTGCCCTATCCAGATGAAATTTTGCTCAAATCGTTTGTTTGACCCAAGGACGAACCCTATTGAAATTGTTGGAGATAATCTGTCAAAATTTAGATATAGCTCTCATATATATCCTCGTCCGATTTGCCTTTTATTGTGCATCAAACGTGTAATATTAGCTCATATATATATTCCTGATCAGAAAAAAGTTATTGTACGATAGCGATGATCGTCTGTCTGTCTATCTGTCTGTGGAAATCACGATAAAGTCCACCTTATTTAGTTAAGAGCTTTGAAATGTAGTTTAACCAAGTCCAAACAACCAAATCTTGGAAATCTTCGATTCAGGTCCCCCATATAAATCGGTTCAAGTTGTAGTTCCCATATATATATCTTCAACCGATTCCGACTAAATTACTCCTAGAAACAAGCTGGTTGGTTGCAACTCGCTTCTTTAATTTTTGTTGCTATTCTTTTTTCCTCCACCTGCACACCACACACACACAGACTAATATTCTTCCAATCATCCTAATCGTACAATCGTTGTTGTCATCATCGGGGACGTCTTTGTGGGAAACAAGAAAAAAAAGTGTAGCGAACAAACGAAAGATTAAAATTTATGAATAAGATTTATGTGTTTCAATTTTGAATAGTTGGGAGTAGTTCATTATAACATAAGCGATCTAAAATTATTGCCAAAGTAATAAGCTTTTACACTGATTACAGGAAGTTATTACTTTTCCGGGGTGGTTTAGGATACCCTTTTATATGACACGAAAATTAGACAAATCCGAATTAGATCCAGGAATGAAAGTGTCTACATAACTAGGATGTAAGTTGTATAAATTAGCATGATCTGCAATTTTATAATGTCCATTTGATTTTTTAGGGTTTTACATGAAAACCGGTGTGACTGCCCTAACCTGTTGAAACCAATTATGAATAAGTCTCACTTATTTCATTCATATCCCTTCTACTCGGTCAAGCACCAATCCGTACCAAAAAAGTTTGGATATAATAACTGAAATATCACTTAGACTAGCATTTTAGCCAATTTACGCCTCGAAAATGATTTTGGGGTCATAGTTGTCCTCCAGCTACGGACTTCAACCAGATTTTTCCCGGGGGAATACAGTCCGCAGTGATATTTAACTGTCTGTTATATATAGTTTTTGTAATTACAAATGCCTTAGTTCGAACTTAAGGATCATCAAGATGAAATGGATGAGGTTGTGGATTTGAATGATATCTAGTTAAATTACCTTTCATTGAGTATGGGTCCACTATAACATAAGAATACTTGATATTATCTAGAATCACATCTATAAACTTTTAGATAAACCCTAAAAAAGAAGTAGCTCCCGTTCGAGTTTCTCCTGGGCTGAGTTTTTCCTTTAAATCCTTGCAGCCTCATATTGCCTTTGCACTGTAGTTTTTCAAGATTCACATTTATTGAAATTCACTTTCTTGACAATTTTAAGCACCTACAGAACTTCCCTTTCCAAACAAAATTCTCATTGGGTTCTCTGTGTGTCGGTCGGTTGGTTTGTCTGTCGTCTTTATGTGTTTTATTATATTTGTCGTGCACTTTTCTTTCATATGTGTGTATTGTTTATTCATTCGTCTTTTTCGGTTTGGTTTCCTCTACTCTTTAGTGCGGTGGTGCTGCTGCTGCTATTGCCGCCGCTGCAATTTTTTCCTTCTTTTGGTGTGTTGTGTATGTGTGTGTGCGTGTGTAAGATTGGCTGGCAAAATGCTCCTTGAAAAAGTTGATAAAAGTGTGCAAATTACAACTGGCTAAAGAAGAAATAAATATATTAACAGAAAATTGCGACAAACAATTGTGATAAACAAAAACAAGGGAACAATAAATCCCCGAAAAAGGCGGTCAGTGTCCACATCCAAAAAAGTGAAGTGTTAAATGTCCAAAAAGCGCTTTTTCTGATTGGCAGAAGAAAAAAAAATATAAAACGAATCAAATCATGCTAAATACACAATTGAACTAGAAGACAAGAGAAAAAACGTTGGAAAAATGTCTACCACAATAAGAAAAAGGTGAGTGAGTGAGCGTGAACAAGCAACCAAATGCAGTTCTTGATTCCTTGGCCAATTCTTATTGGATGTCATAAGAAATTATTAATATTTATTGTTAATATTTATATTTCGAAGTTTTTCTTAAATGATTGGATGGTCAAGGAAGAAACAGTGAATTACAATACTTTTATTACTTATAAATTACGGGTATGAGAAGAGGTCATGAGAATGTCCAGTAAATGTTATTGTGTGGGACTGACAAGCAACAAAAAGAACGCTAAAATTAGTCATGACCACTTGGAAATTACTACCGCCCACATGGAAACCAAGTAAATAATAATTATAACATATATGTATGAGCGACATTATAATCATCACGTTTGGTTCATACTATTCTGTGGAAATATGGTAATATCTTATCCAAATATTCATTAAACCATGACCTTTTCCCTCAGTTATGTGTGTAAAAAATGTAAGGAGAAATAGACATTAGGGTGGCACGTCTAGTGAAAAAAAATCACAAAGATGACAGATATGGTGGAAATTCATCCTAGAATTGTGAAAACTCTGAAACAACTTACCCATTTAGTGTCTACTTGAAGCTGTTGTGTCTTTCTTTACTTCTGGCTTACACATCATGATAGAGAAATTTTAGAGCATACTCTTAGGCGCGTTACAAAGTTTATGAATCAAATTGAGTTCTGGTAGGTATTTTAAACCAGATTTAGGGCATAGTTATTTTTCCGTGGAGGAAATATTCGGTTAATTGACCCGAAAGTTCGGATATAAAATCCAGTTTATCCTATTTTTATCACTAATTAGATTTTAATACCCTATAACGGGTCCATTTTCGACATTTTGCGAGGTTTTCAAAACGTTCTGGTGCAAAAAGATTTCGTATAGGCCTCATGTAACTGTACCTCCAGATATTCGGAATTTTGATGATTTGTGTTCGTATTTGAAGTTTGTAATGGGTACTACCTCCTGTGATAAAAAATTGCCTACACAAAAATGCCTACATAGCTCCCATATTTTAACGATTTTAGCCACCTTTTTCAACAGAAGGCTATACTAGAACTAGACTGCTTCTTTTCTTGTTTTTTTTATACCCTCAGCCATATGGCTACAGAGGGTGTATATCATTTGATACGGTCAAAATGTGCCTAGTCGAAATAATGGTTTTGGACCCTAGGTCTCTTTGGACCAAATCCGTTTTAGAACATTTGGTGTCAATCTAGCGATGTCAGTCCGTCCGTCCGTCTGTCTGGCTGGTGCGCACGATAACTCTCGAAGGGAGTATCCGGTTTGGTCCAAACTTGGTACATCGTAATATTATTATCAAACTTTGACCAAGTTCGGAGATGGATAATATCGGTCCACTCCTTCTGGTACCTCCCCCACAAAAAGTTCAACTTTTCAGAGAAAATAATTTATTGCCCAGAAAGAGAAAGGATTATCTGATTTGGATCCAACTTTGCAAATCCAAATATTTTCATCAACGATAGGTCAGGTGAGAAAATGAAGAATATCGGTGCACTCCAGCAAGTACCTCCCCCACAAAGGGTAAAAATTTTGAATAATCATAACTCATATAAAATCTCATGTTCGGGTCCAATTGTATTTTAATTATACACATCACAATATTTTTATTAACCCGAGGCCTGCTATGAAGATGGAATATATCAGTTCACTCCTTCCGGTACCTCCCCCACAAAGGGTCAAAATTTTGAATATCCATGAAGCTCAGACTTGGCACATCTGAGTATTTCTATCAACACAAGATCTGTTATAAAGATGATAGAGATCGGAGCTTTCCTTCTGGAACCTCCCCCACAAAGGGTCAACGTTTTGAATAACCAAACCGATTGTAAAAACCGAAATAAGCAACCGGCTCTCTTCAATTTTCACGCGTCTCATTATTTCTACTAACAGAAAATCTGCTGTGAAGATGGGATATATCAATCGACTCCTTCTGGTACCTCGCCCACAAAGGATGACATTTTTGAATATCCATTAAACTCATAAAACGCGAATCTAACAACCGATTACATTCAGACTTGGCACGTCTCAATATTTCAAATATTCAATATTCATATCAAAATATATGTATTTAAAAAATAGAACACTGGCTGAAGTTATACATTTATCGGCAAATCCGACTGATACTTTTTAACTTATTGTATACAAAGATTGATACGTAATTCTGTATGTTAAGCTAGGTCAGTTACCAAAATCTTTCCTCTCGTTGGAAATTCATTCATGGATTTTTGCTTCATTCAATCCAAGAAGAAAATGCATTCATTCCAGAATGGTTTTCATTATAAGAATTAAAGTTTAATATTTTTTTTACTGAGTAATAGCACCTCCTAATCGTTCTCTTGGTTGTCGTACTTGATTTGTCATACACAAAATAACCTAAAATACTAAGCGTGTGGCGATTACATTCGTAACATCTGCTCCTCATGCTCGTGAGCAATAATGCAACTATGAACTATCAAATCCCACTACTTTCGAGTTTAGTTAACCAAAAACAGAGTAGAACCACAATGATTATGACTATTTTTATTTCCACGTCTTTTTTTTTGTTTCTTCATTTCCACTTTTATGTGTATTTTTGTTTGTTGTGTCCAATGTTGGATTGTCTTTTGTTTGAATTATCAT